TTTGATTGTTAGACATTTTTCTTGTCTTTTGTTACTCTCCCTAGTTTCATTCCTTACCTTTACAGTTGAATACTTGGTTAACTATTTCAAATTCTTGCCAATTTTGGTCATGAATTGTGCTTAGTTTAGATTTTAAAACTAAACAGCGTTTCTGTTTAATAAAAAATATTTCCCGTTTAGATGTCATATTTTTTAAAAATGCAGTTTTCACTTTTTCTCTCATTTTAATAAGTGTAAAATAAAATATGCAAACACAGAATTGCAGATGGACTGCAGCCTACAGAGAGTATCAGACTTCTGAACAAAACTGTTGCTGTGTCAGTGTATGGTTTCTCAAAAAGTTCATCAGCTGGTATAAAACAGTTAAGGTTTGTATTTTGTTGCTGTTAAAGTGGTTGAGGAATTTCAATGTGAAAGTATGAAAGTGTAAGATGTTTAGAACTCAAAATTTCCAAATAAAGGATCCTAGCCTGTACTTACCTATTTTAATTATAATGTCATTCAAAGTATCAGTAGGTATTAACTTGACTGGTAGATGTCTGGGTTGTATTTCTTTTAATTCTTATTTCTTAAAAAAACAAAACAAAACAAAAAACCAAAAACAAACGGAAAACAACACGCCCCCCCCTTTTTTTTTCTTCTTGTTTTCTCCAGCATATTTAACAAAGAGTGTATGTAACAATTATTGCTTGCAGGTCAATTTATTACTCTTATAATGAGCTCTAAGGAGCTCTGGTAGCATACTGGTTACAAGTTGGACTGCAAACCTCAAGATCCAGCTGTTCTGCTGGAGAAATATGAGACTTTCCACTCCCATACAGATTTATAGTCTCAGAATCCTTATGCAGGGCAGGGTCATTGTGAGTCAGACCATGGCACACTATCACATAATCAGAAAAAATGTGGTTTTTAAATGTTATTAGGAGATGAGGCTTTCTGTTCCCATAAAGATTTACAGCCTCGGAAACCCTGTACAGGGTGGCTATGAGTCAGAACAGACTTCACGACTCATAACAACAACAACAGCATTAGCCATATACAGAATAAGGAGCTCTGGGCTGCCACTCAGGAGTTGGTCAGTTTGAACCAGCAGTTCCATGCTCCACAGGAGAAAGAGAGCAATCTATTACTGTAGAAATTTTCAGCCCTGGAAACCTTAGGGAGTAATTCTCTTTGATCTTGTAGGGTCACTATGAGTTGGAATTGACTTGGTGCCTGTGGAGTGTTTTTTGTTTTTTTAGGTTTATATGTTAAATGCCTTCTCTTTTTTCTTTTTGACGCTAAATACCCTCTTGAAGCATGTCACATATTCTTTTAATTGATTTGTCATGCTGACTATTGAAAGACAAGGAGCCCTGGCAGTGTAGTGAGTTCCAAGTTTGGCTGGTAACCAGGTCTGCAGTTTGACTCTACCAGCTGCTCTGTGGGAAAAAGATGAGGCTTTCTGCTCTTGTAAAGATTTATAGCCTCAGAAACAATAGACAGGGTCTTTGTGAGTGGAAACTGACCCCACGACACACAACCACCACTATCACAAGCTTTGACAGATGTATGCTATTACTTAATACTCAAGTAATAGAACATTTATGTAGGAATTAGAACTTTTTGTTTTTACAAGAAAAATCTGCTACTTACTGCATTTAGAATAATTTTCTTTACTGACAGTTTTGATAATGTGATTTAAATGAATTGTAGAGCACAGTAATCTGTTCATTCATCAGTTACAATAACTTAGTAGTTTTTATTTAGACATAGTCAAGTGGGAAGGAGTGTGATCTTTCTAACTTTTCAGTTCCCATTTAAAGACAACTGGGAATGAATAAATCTCAGCCTTCTTGCAGTAACTGTGTATAATTAGAAAAATCATATAGCCACTTTTTAATAATTACTTGCCTCATTATATTATTATTATTATTATTATGCATATAATTTTTGTTAGTATATTCACTGGAAGAGAACACAAGGATAGGAAATTTGTAACTGGTTGTGATAACTAGACTAGTTCCTTCCTCTGGGTAACAATTAGTCTATTAAAAGGAAACAGATCTCTTTATACTGCTTTCAGTATGTCTCATTTTGAAGACCAAGAGTCTATCCCAAAAGGACACATGGGGCAAGAAGTTAGTGAATCGTATCTAAATTTAGATGTTCTATAACATGCCACAGATTTTCTCATTCATCTGATTTTGTAGGCAGAGACTTTTAAAGTCTGAATTAGATAGTTTTATCTCTCCTGTGGAAAAGGCCAGTCATATTTGAAACCAAACTGATCTGGAAGCAAAGGCAGGCAATGTATGTTTCACGTGATCACTGGAGCAGGGTAGAATAGTTTTGAACCTTTAGATGAGGATCAGGAGCTGAACCCATAATGAATTGGACTAATGGAAAATATATTTTGTATTATAGAATCTTTTCTAACAATGATAAACTGGGAGCTAATTTTGATGAGGAAGAGAAGTTGGGAAGGAAAATGAGAACCTTGAAAAAGAAACTACAGTTTTGACCCTTTGTAGAGATCGTCTATTTCTTAAAGGGACTTATTTCCAGCACTTTGAAATATAAGTAGACTGCTTTGTGTTTTTCTTCCTGGGATTGTGGATAATAGACGAGGAGGAAAACTAAATTGTTTTTAAACATAACTCTGAATAATGTTCTTCCTTTCTTTTGGATTATTGGTCTTTATTGTGTATATAAAATGTTAGGAATCTGAAACATGTATAGTGTTATTTTTAAAGATAACCTTTAGAAGAAAAGGTAAATTTAATCATGGGTTGGAATGATTAGTTGGTGTCTAGACAGGCCTCATTGTATGAAATTTTAGGATGAACTGTTTAGTCAAAGAGATTATAGATTTTTGATTACAGTCATTCTAGAATACTAACCTAGCCCATTCTACCCTGTCCTACCCAGTTTTATCCCCTAGTTTTCACTAATGGATAAGTATTTTATCCATAGTTTTCACATATCACGCTGTGGGTTGTTTTAGAGCTTAAAGTTCTAAGCTCATTGGCCACATTTCTGAGTGGAGTAAATCTAAAATATCTCTGAAATGGAAGGAGTTCTTCCTCTTTGCCTATTTAGGTTTTCTGGGTAAACTTGCAGTGTTGAGTATCAACCTCTTTAGGTTGTCAGAAGTGTTCTAGGCCTTTATTACCCTCTAGGACCACGTAAAGGTTACCCTAGAATACTTACCTGGACTTAAAACAAAATGAACCTTTCTCTTTTTCCTTTTAATCTCAATTAAATAAAATGTCTTTCTTATAGAAAATATTAGAAAATAAAGACAAACATAAACATAATTCCTTGGCTGAGATAATTTTGTTGTTGTGTGCTAATTGATTGTGATTCACAGCGACTCTGTAGAACAGAGTAGAGCTGCCTCATAGGGTCTCCTCAGCTGTCATTTAAAAAAAAAAAA